TGCCATGGCGTGTCACCTTTGACATGCATGTCATAGGTTCGCCATCACTGGTATAGACCTTGACTACAGATAAGATTTGCAGAGAGGGAGCTGTTTAATAAATAACAGCTGGAGGGCATTAATACCAATACCTTTTTGGGGCTTCTGTCTCATCTGAATGTTCTTACCACTGAAGCTAATTTTCACTTGGACATGCTTTGGCAGCCATATTTACCTCATAAAATTGTGTGGAATGGTGGAGATTGGTAAAGTAGGTACTTTTCCAGAATTCTTAATAGGAAGACTAGAATAAAACACAAAGAATCCATAAATGAATATAGAATGGATGCATGCTAAGCTTATACAATCTTTTCATAGCATTATAAATAAAAATGAGATTAGCTGTTGAGAAAGCCAATACAATTTACCTGTCTTTTCTAACATCAGAAAAAATCAGTAAGCATCAGGTGTAAACCTATTATTTGCTACTGGACTGTTGAATCAGTCACTACACCCTTATAGACCTTTCCTTTTTTATTTCATTAAGTGGGAAAGTCCAAAGGTCTCTTATATTTTAGAACTACTGACCACTGATAAATGAGGAAGATGAAAATATACTAGATGCGAATTTTAATCCCTTTTTCTTGTTAACTTATCTTTATTATTGACTAACTTTAACAAGTAACTATGTCAGTATCTAGATGACACACTTATAACCCTTGACCTCTTTTGCTTTTTATAACTGAAGATAATCACTATCAATGGCTGGGATCTAGTCAGTATATTCTACTAACAATATTGTCTTTTTTAACCAACTGAAATTGTAAAAGGAGATGCAAACATTGCACATACCATTTTAAGATCATCTGCAAACCATTCCTTCTTAAAGCACTCAAAGTTTAGCCTGTACAAGGACACAAAACATCTTGGAGGGGAGAACCCACCAAGGCTTAAGTTAGTTCATAGAGAGTATGTCATGAATAGAAATGTACAAATATGTCTATTTTGGCTTTACTTAATTTTGTATATATGTTAAATTAAGTTGGTTGAACTTTTTTTTTAAACGTTGACACTAAAACCTGTTTGTATTTTGATCTATATTTCTCCAAATGTATCCACTGCTTGCAGTTTCACCTACTACACATTATTTTTGGAAACCATTTTTTCCTAATTTCTAAATTACTTTTCTTTTTACATATTATTTTCATTAATACAGTACTTACCCAAAAGGATGACTCTAAATATGTTAGTCACTAAACACACACACAGATGTAATGGAAAAAAAGTTAGTTAATAAAACTGTAAGCAATATAAAATCAATATAAGAATGTTATCTTTTCACTAACAATTTATTTTTCCACTAGCGTTTACATTTCCTATAATCTTCCCTGTTATTCCTTTCACCATCTTCTTTCATTTTGATTATCTTTTTCATTCTCAGCTTCTTTAAACTCAAATTGTCTTCATTTCCACCTGTGAAATTAGAAATTCAGCATTTTTAACTCAAATTGTTAATTCTCTGTCTACACCCTACTGCCCCTTGTGGTCATGAGGTGTTGAAGAGTCAGTGCCATTGGATCTGGACATCCAACAACATTGCCTTAATCTAATGACAAAGCAATGCTATACTAAGCTTCCTTAATTTTCTGATTATATGATTCCCACCAAGAACTGTTCGGAGCACAGTATTGCAACTTCAAATAGTGTTCAGATTCCTTGTTCACCACTACCTCTAGCACTTGCAGTTGTCCCCCCATTTGACAATAAGATCAGTATTCATGTCTCTAATAGTAATCTATAGTAATCTTTACTTCTGGTGAAAGATGCCTTTAAAATACATCCGTGACAAGCATTTGTCTTTTCCTTAACAAGACATCTGATCTATTCCAAATAATTCTCAGCCAACCCGTATTTAAATCTCTAGACTTTCCATATTAAGCTAGAGAGAAGTGTTCTTCTTGCATGGTTTTACATTTCAAGATCATATTGCAGTGGAAAAAATAAACCTAACAAACAAAATGGAGACTGCATCCTTTCCCCCATCTTTTAGATATGACCAGGGTCAAACCCAGTCCCTCTCTTTGCCTAATCCCATCAGACCCAAATTGACTCCCCCTGTCCCAAACAACCCCCCCCCGCAATCCCACCTGAATCAAGGAATAGAAGCCTCCTAACTCGCTTACAGCACAGCCCAAGGGCAGCCCTAAGAAGGGAGTTGCAACATAGTAACAAGCTGAGACACCCCAACCTTCCATCCTCTATCAGCCGATGACCTCAACATGCCATCTCCTTTAGCAATGAACTTCCCCAGCTCTGTTGCCCTCCTGAAAGGCCCATTTTGCCTAACAATAGAACTCACAGCAGGTACACTATCAAGGACCTGCTTAGCTTCCCCAAATTGACTAGCCAATCAGATCCCTACAACATCCTGCCTGTTGCCCTCAACTTCTGTAAAATTCTTTGCTTTCCCATTGTTCAGGATCCCTTTTTCTTGTAAAGCAGGCACCCAATGATCATTGCAATAAACCTGGTTCTTCTCAGTATTGTGCTCCTTACTTTGGCAAAATTCCACAACAATATACCATGGCAATTTTGTATCGTTTTCAGGGATTAGTATAATGTATGAGCCTTAATTTGTATAATCTCCTTTTGACTATGCTTACAATTCACTTCATTTTTAGAACTATGTGACTGTATTAAGTATAAATAAGTCAAACAGGTAATGTAGATAAGAAATCGGCTTACTTTCACGTACACCTAAAAAGGCATATTGTACTTTGATGGCATCTCAAAGTAAATGCTCCCCCTTCTTCTTATCTTCTTCCCTTTACTGCCATTTTAACAGCAAGGGGCATATAATGACACCCACTTTCCACAACTCAGCAAATGAATGTGGTGCTTCATGTCTTCTCTGTCTTTCCTCTCCCTCTTACTTAGCTCCCTTCTGCACATCCTGTACAGCTCATCTGTCTCTTTCAAATTCCGTACTTAAAATTATTCTGGTTACAATTTCCCTCTGAGCTTTCATTATTATATTCTTAGCAAATTGAAGATGACCTTTTCGTTTCAAAATAAAATTACCTGGGGGGGGGGACATATCCCTGTCAGGTAAATATAATACATGTTGTTTTGTTCAGGATTTTCTCTAATATACAGTTTTTAAAATTATTGGTACACTGCATTGCAAATTTAGAGAGCTGTATATTTTGAAACATAACCAAATTCTGTGTCCTCACCTGAAAGGTTGAAGCTGCAAAAATCTGCAAAACCAGAGGTCCAATCCAGAATTGTAGCCATAAGAGACAAGAAGCAGGAATAGAAGGTGGGCAGCCAAGGACACATAGGTGCAGGAAAATGGGGCAAGGCAGAGATAGAAGAGTATTCTCTGTCAATCTAGGAATCAAACACCAGAGAGTTCCACAAGATGGTCTGTGTTATAAACCCTGGAGTCCAAGAGCACAATAAGGATACAGGAATGTAGGTCTGATGCTGGAGAATTGTCTTCAATGGAAAGCAAAGTCCTGGAGACTGCTTGTTTCCTGAAATAGCCAATAGGTCACCTCTGCTCTGTGATGTCCTCTGAAGTTGCCATATGTTCTGGGATTAGGTACACTGCCAGGATCTGGCCCCTCATTATCTGAGTTGGCCTTCAGTCCTCTGCTTCAGGAGCAGATTGCCTGTTGGCTCCTGAGCCTGGTAGTCTGTTAGATCAGACCCTGTAGCCTATGACTCTGAGTACTGTATATTATAACATCATGGAAGAAAGTCTACCTGATCACAAAATGATTGCTATGGTGTATGTGAGCAGACACAAAATATCTGTTCCCTAGAAGCCCTAAATGATCCCTATCGTCAACCCACCTATTTTTTTTCTGGCAGATACAAACACATCTCAACAAAGCAGTGGTGTGCAGCCATCATTCCCAGTCAGCATGGCCTAACTCAGTGTTGTCCAAACTTGGCCACTTTAAGATGATCATCTTAAAGTGGCCAAGTTTGGACAACACTGGCCTAACTGTATCTGATTCTATAGTCCAGATATAGAAACTTGGGGCCTTCCAGCAGCTGCTGCTGTATTACAACTCCCAATATTGCTAAACATTGGCCATGCTCTCTTGGGTGGATGGGAGCTGGGAAATCAGTAACCTCTGTGGGATCATAGATTCCCTATTCCTGTTTTGAACACTGACTTTTGAGGATTAATCAATGCTTATTAAATGTTTGCTAGTGGCAGGATTTTTTGAGATTGTTTTCTTATACATTAAATTTGGTTGCAAAGACAAGACAATTATTGGCAATGTAACATATTTAACAGGCATAGTGTGATGTAAGCATTAAAATCTTTCCATATAACCATAAACCAATACTAAAAAACCTTGTCCACATTAATTGTCAGTGTTTTGCTTAATGTTGCTTAACCTAAAGGAAATCAGGCACTGAGTATGTAGGTATGTATTTAGATTTTGTTATGCAGTGCCCCCTTCTGGCAAGAAACATGATACATCATACAAATGTAGGAGGTAGAATGATAATTTTTTGTTCATAGGATTCTCTGTCTTTAATTCTCCCCTCTTTGTTAGGAGAGATTCCTTAATGCTAGGAGGCAGATACAGAAAATTCAGCAAAGCTCCCATTTTTCTGTATACAGATTCCAGAAGCCCAATTCCAACATCCACAGATCGCAGAAACAAAATGTCACAAAATATTCACAAAAATATTCACTAACATTGATATTATTCAAAACTTTGCTAATTCCTAGCCAAGAATAATTAAGAATCGCTCATTCTTAATCAAGCTACAGGCTCCTCCTATGAGAGTCCTGTTGTTGAGTGGCAGGTTGGGTATCCTTTTTCCAAGTTACTGAAAATGCAGTGGTAGCTATATTGGCCACAAGAATGCTCAAAGTTAAAAATCCACAGAAGCAATAATTTATTAACCATTTTAATAGTTGTAAGATGTTGAACAGATTAAAACTCTTAAACATGCTAAATAGTAACAGAAATTTTTAAAAAGATGAGGAAAATTGTGCATACTTATGAGCAATTTGGATGTTTACTGATATATGTGGAACAAAAGAGGTGTTGAGTTATAGCAAGGGCACTCTCTGAGAAGTCTAGAAAGATACAGTTCTCTTACAGAGGAAACACTGTGAAGGGCTTCTTTTGAATATCTTAATGCAATTAAGAATATCTGGCTGGGGAATTCTGGGAGTTGAAGTCCACACATCTTAAAGTTGCCAAAGTTGAGAATCACTGTCTTAATGCATGAACCAAAGTGGTGTAGTGGCTAAGGTGGACTTACAACTGGGAAACCGGTTCAAGTCCTCTGTCAGCCATGGAAGATCATGGGGTGACATTAGTCGGTACCTCTCAGCCCAACCTGTCCCCTATGGAAAAAATGGGAAGAAGTAGTTTATGTATACAGTTCTGAGCTCCTTGAAGAAAGGCAAGGTCTAATTTTAATAAATGTTTAGATATACATACATATTCAAAAAAATAAAGTCTTACTGGAACTTACATTCAACTATGTGGGGACTGGAGTATAGTCTGGTCAGAAAGGAACTAAAAAAGGGATTTGGGAGTGGGAGAGGAAACAGCACTACTTCCAATCTCCCCTCCTGAAAGATGAACATCAGAATAATTGTTATAATACATAATAATTATATATTAAATTGTTAAAAACACTTTATAATCATTACATTGTAGAGACATACAACCTGAGGCTCTAGGGCCACATTGGCCCCTTGGCTGCAACCTCTGTAGTCTGCCAAAAGCTGCTGTCAAACTGTGAATTAATCACCTAAGGAATTAATCATGTTGCTGATTAATTAAATGAAGTTTACTTTTTGATAGGGCTTGGCTCCCCCACTTGTTAGAGGTGGGATCTTGGTTTGCATTCAATGCCAAGCACAGTCTTCAGGGTGAGCAAGATTTATATATTATCTCTCTTAGAGATAATAATGTATTCAGATAAGATTGCTTTCTTAAGCACCTAGCTCTTTTAAAGCACAATGTTTATACAGTATATATTTTTTCAGAGCATTCTAAGATTTACTTTTCTTAATTTAATCCTTCCTTCTGACCATTTTATCTACTTCCCCATGAAATGGCTGTTTCTCACTGGACAAACTACTAGAGGCAGAAAAATGGCTACATAAAGAAGTGCTTTGAAGTAGTGAAAAGGATGAATGTGGTTCCCCTTATTCCCTCTCATTCTATACTTTAAAACATAATCCCTTTATGCTTTACAGAAACCAATATTGATGTAAGAGCTGGAGCATTTAACACATGATATGTAAGAAAATTTGGGCTGGGTCAGATCAAAGCAGTGCTAACTTTTTCCACTGGCTGAGTAGATGTCTATCAGGAACCTATAAGCAGGACATGAGCAAAATGGCATTATCTCAGTTATATACCCCAGCAGCTGGAATTGAAAGGCATAGTACTTCTGATAATTAGAGGAAATATATAGCTATAAGGGCTAATATATATTGATAGCTATTGCCAGGGCTAGCTTTAGACATTCTGGCACACTAGGCAAAGTCATATTCTGCCTCCCCCCCGCCCCCCATGATTTGGCTCATCTTCCAATTTTGTTAGGAATTTCGAAAGGCGCCCTCTTGTGTTTTTTTTTTCTTTTGAGTTTTTGAGCTTTATACTTATGATTTTCAGCCTTGGACATTTTTTTCCTTTTCTTGAATGTTTTCACCCATTTACACAGTAAATAATTCTAATTACATCAGCACCCATTGTTGTCATGTGGCAACAATTCTGCGAAACTATATTTAACCCTCAAATCAGCGTGCTGGCTCACAGAGTGTGCCGTTACTGCTTTTTGCTTTTTTATTGTGTTTTTCCTAACTCCTTTCAATTTTGGTGCCCCTTAAAATTTGGCACCCCTTGGCTGGTGCCTACTCAACCTTAGCCAACAGCCAATCCTGGCTATTGCCTAACTCCCTTTTAAAGCTATCTAAATTGCTGTCTCTTAGTGCAGCTGGTAGTAGCAAATACATTTTGATTAACTTTTTGATGTTTTTATTTCCCTCTTCTATAACTTTCTCTCTAAACTCTCTTCTATAACGCTGACTTGTTCAGGTATAGGGACCAAAAATGTAGATGGTATTCCATGGATAGTTATTTGTCACATTTGTATAAAGGCATTATAATGTTGGCAGTTTTTCCTAATGTTTCCCAGCATAAATTTTGCCTTTTTCACAATTGCTGCATACTGAATTGCTAGGTCAGTTGACTATTCACCACCAACATGAATCACTGCCTGGTCAGTTATGACTAGTACAGAACATGCCAGCATACTAGCATAATATCTGGGCATTAGCAGTTTGCACAGGTTATCCACATTTTCCAGTTGAATTAGCACATTGCTACAGTCAGCCATGGTTTAATTGTAATTTCTGTTATTGTTTTATCTTCTATCTTTGAACTGTATTTATTTATTTATTTGCTAATCTTTTCACTGTTCATCATTTTTCCCACTTTTTTTAGCGGAAACATGGGACATAAAATAAAGAAATGAATCCAATACTCCCCATATGAGTTATTTTTTGTTCTAGGATAAAATGGAAAGATTACAGAATGTTTACTAGATTGTTCAAATTTTACTTTCACAGTAGATCTTGATGCAAGAAGGGGGAGATTTTATATATATAAAAAAAGATA